TGATATTATAAATAGAAGATTTTATTTAACTCATAATTATAAATTTATATGTGAAAATAGGTTTTTGAAGTAGCGTCGATACATTGTGGTGTAATATTTATTCACCCCCATATCACTTCTTTTTCTTTTACTTTCTCTCACTTTCTTATTTCGGCACATAGCAAATTATAAGCAAATTGTAATTTACTAGATTCTATTATAGGTTAAAAAAACAAATAATTAAATTTTATTTTTAGTATATATCATTTTAAATATCTTTTATAATTTTGACCTTAGAGATACGCGTACGATACTTGTTCGCTATTATGCTGTGTGTAGCGAACATGATTATTTATGGTCTGAAAGTTAATATTGCGGTATCTATCATTGGTATGGTGAAAAAAAAGCCGGGTATACCGGATTGGTCAGATGAATGTCCGGAATTTGAGGTTCCTGAAGATGCCGTCACTGATATCGACGGTCCATTTGATTGGACAACGAGCCAGCAAGGTTTGGTTATTAGTATATACTTTGCTGGATATCTTGTTGGCATGTTTCCGTCGGGATATTTGGCGGATCGGTAAGTGTTTCAATATTTCAAACCTTTTTATTATTATTATTATTATTATTATTATTATTATTATTATTATTATTATTATTATTGTTAATTAGAAGTAATTCTTTGAGTTTATAAAGATGGTATGCTATGATAGTAAATTATGGTATACACGTAAATGCTATCAACGTCGCGCTGATAGATAATTTTTGCATTTAGGGAATTAGAGAACATACGATCAGTTATATTCATATAATTGTTTAATATTTTATTTATTCTATAAGTTGTAATAATGAAATATATTGGATACAGATTTGACACGAAGGCAGTACTGTTAGGCTGTGTGCTGGCAAATGGAATCTTAACAACATTGGTGCCGATCGTGGCAAAGCAGTTGTCCATACTATACATTGTTAGATTTCTGACCGGTTTTGTGAGTGCAGCGAATCTTCCTATAGTAAATGTTCTTCTGGGAACATGGGTTGTGTACGAGGAAAAAAGCATGTGGGTCGGCATTATATACGCTGGAACGTCGCTCGGCACCGTGATATCTATTCTTACCTCGGGATTGATATTACGTTACGTGGGCTGGGAGGCTATCTTTTACATCCATGGAACGACACCGTTAATCTGGTGCATCGTCTTTTATTTATTTTTCGCCGGTTGTCCGGAAAAACAGAAGTTTATAACGGAGCATGAAAGAGCGTTTATCGTGAACTCGTACGGTCACCGTACACCTGGATCCGTAAAGATGAAGGTTCCATGGAAAAGTATATTTACATCGGTGCCATTTTTGGCTCTGATCGCTACGAATACTTTAGGTAACTTTGGTTGGTATTTCTTGCTCACTCAACTGCCGCTTTATATGAACAAGATACTGCGATATGATATTACATCGGTGAGTAGAGATATAAGATGTGTAAATAAATTCTCAATTTTTTTAAAAATACATCTATTAATGTAAAAATACCGGTACAAATATTCTAATCAAAATATTGTTTTCGAATTTATTTTTGTTATTTTTTAAGTAACATATAGATATCGTGACTAAAGAATGCTATACGCAGCGTGATTTATTGTTTACATTGGAATTATTTTTAAATCTTTTAAATTTAACCAATCTTGATACATTCTTTCTTAACAACATAATATTGTCTCAGAGTCTGATAAAATATATATTCTGGTTCTTTGGTGGTTCTACCACGATAAAAAGAGTAAGATATGACAAATATGCACTTTTGCAACATTCATTTTCAATTAAATTAAAAATGTTAATTATACAATTGAGCATTGTTACATAAGCATTGTTATTTTTGAATTATAGTCAATCTTACTAATGGAAAAATAATTGGCTGCGTTTAAACACACCGTTGTTAGTATTATCTAAAATTGACCGCGGAAACTTATTTATACATCTCATGTATATAATAACATATAATTTTTTCTTGTATTATGTCATATATAATTATTTTACGTATTTCAAGTTATATTTAATCCAAGAGGTATTATGAGAAAGAGCAGAATATTACGGATAAAATAATATTTTACATATATTAATATTATTTTATTCTGTATGACGTGTGCACAGTTACGTGAAACAGAACTCAAGTTTTTGTCTAAATTTTTCCTGAAATGCTTTACAGAATGCCGCTATCGTTTGCACACCGTATCTTGTGAACGCCTTCGTTAATCCATTAATCGGACGAATTTTAGATTGGGGACGGAAAGAAGGATATTGGTCTCAGACAATTGCACGTAAAATTGCAGTGTTCATAAGTATGTATTTGAAATGAAATTTATAATAATATAGCTCTAGATGTGACCTTTTTGTTTTATAAAAATATATTATATATATATAATATATTATTATAAAAATATAAGTCATATTTATAGTAGATGGAAAATAATTTTGTAAATATCATAATTTTTCAATATTTATAAAAAATTGTATTATTTTTATTAATAATCATTTTATTCGTTATACATCCTGTTTTAAGTAATTAATAAAATTAGATAACAATTCTCTCTTTCTTTCTCTTATTTTGTTTAGCAATTCGTAGCAATAGCGGATGTAATAACATAAATTAAAGAACTAAACTTGAATTATATAGTTTACATATTAATTAATGAAAAAGAATGAAGTATTGTTTGTAAATTTTCTGCCTGAATTTACATAATCGCCGTGATTTTGAATAATACACGCGACATTATAATTTTTGTTTCTATTTTTAGTGACAATGCATAAATTATTTCTACAATATATGAAATTATAATTGATATAAATTAGCTGCATCATATTGAATTTTATATTACATTATAAAATTTGTGTGCACATCTTTGAGTGTTTTATATAACTAGAAAATATTTATATGTTATGTTAAATTAAATATGTTTAGTCCAAAAGAAGTCTCTGATATATGTAATGTATAATTTGGCGCATTTTTTTTTCTTCCAGGCTCTATCCCAGCTAGCATTTTTCTTCTTATAATCGCGTACATTGGTTGCGCTCGTGTGGCGTCGACTGTGCTGCTAACCTTGAGTATAGTATTCTGTGGTGCTATATTTGTCGGTCATCTTTGTAATCAAAACGATCTGGCACCAAATTATGCAGGAATTCTCATGGGTATTACAAATACTCCGGGCACTATTTCCGCCTTTATCCTGCCACCAATAGTTGGAGCTCTCGTAAAGGAAGGAGTGAGTTGAACACTTAATGCATGATCAAACAAGAAAACGAAAAAAAGAGTCCATTAAGAGCAACGTGACATGATCTCCAATTTTTTGAATTTTTAATAAGTTATGCACAGAGATTCCACTTTCTTGAAGTTTTACGAAAGGTGAAACGACTTTAACCCGATATAAGAAAGTTAAGCCGATATTCGCTCTAAGAAAGACATTGAATCTTAATTGCGTAATCAACTGCGAAGTCAACTTTATTGTAACACGAAATCTTTGAAATGAGAATTTTAATATTATGTTATTTTTTTATTATTATAATGTCTAAAAATATATAATTTTGGTATATTAAACTTGATAGCTTATTTTATAAAATACAGCTGTCACATAATAACATTTTCAAATTGATGTTTTTTATTTTGGTATTAATATCCAATATCTTCTAACAGCATACCATGGCGCGATGGAGAATTGCATTCTGGATTACCATCATCGCCCAAGTTCTCGCTTTCGTGATATTTTCGATCTTCGGATCAGCCAAAATTCAACCATGGAATTATCCACCGGCTGAAGACGAAAACTGGGAAGTCGATAATGAACCACAAAGGCAACGGGAACAGCAACAAGAAACGAAGACTTAAATTGAGACTACCTTTGTTCACAATTCTTATTAAAAAATTAGAAGGAACATTTTTTTTATAGAAAAATGTATTCCGCTTGCATAAGAAATATAGGTAAATTAAATAAGTACGATAATATAAATTATCGTTAAACGAAATTAAGAAGTTTGTGATTTTTATACATTCCTCATATATTCGCATTTAAATCAACTTTTTATATTTAGGTATATTTCATTATGAAACATTTTCGATGAATCTACTGAGATTAATTAATGGTAATACTTAATATCACTTTGTATGTTATATATACATATCTGTGTTGTTGGTAATATTTTACAAAATATGTTTCAAGAAGAGGAATTCTGTTGATAATATGCATTATAATATTATCAATGTTAACCGAAGTTTTAACTATCTTTCACGTGTGAAAATTTTACAAAATGTAGATTGTACAATTAATATATATCTACAATGTATATATGCGAGAAATTTAATAAACACATTCATGATTATATTCATGATTATATTCATGATTATTTCTATTTATTTATTTAATTTGAAAAAAATCAAAAAATTTTAAAGTTGTGAAAAATATGTACCTATAATATCTACATGAATCATCTTATACTTCTGCTTGACGATTTCAACGACGTGTCAAAGTTCGCAAAAGTCTTAGAAGTGCTGCTACTTGACGTGTCAAGCTTTACGCTAAGATAATTAGGATCGCGAGACCACCCTTAATGACGGGTAACCAATTAGGGGCCACCTGTACAAAAATTCTTCTTATCCCAATTAGATCACCACATCGCGAGACTGTCAATCAGCGCGAGACAGACGCGGAAAAGAAACAAGAAGACTGCACGAAAGAGCCGTGCCGACACCAACAGTGCGGAATATTTACGACGTTGAAATATTACGTTTGTAATCTATTTCCAGCCTACAGTCGCACGCTTCGACGATTCTGTGAAGCCAGGACGCGAGTGGTAACTGCTTTCCTCGCTAAATCATTTTCTTCTTCCTTTAAATATTACCGACAACCGCGATAGAAATCTGTGCGTTTCCGAATGAGAGAATATTGAATCTTTCTACTTCTTTGGGAATTTTTGAAAATTTCATTAGGAAAGATCGAAGGAAACGAAATGGATATTACACGCACGTTCTACGTTCTCTATTAAATTTTATTATCGATCTAGAAAGTATATTGGGAAATTATCTTGTAAAATTTAAAAATTTAGAGATTATTTCCTTTCAAAGACAAATATCTTCTTTTAACTTCTTTTTTAAAATGTATATTGCGTTTCGACATAACGTAATATGTTGTAATGTATATCTCTAAGACAATTGCAATTCCTTCCGAATTTATTAATCTCAAAATTGGTACATATCTTCTGATGGCGAGACAAGTATGAACGACAAGAGAATCGTTTGGATTTATTCTGGTAAACTTCGTTGCAGGAATGGTCCGATACACGCAAGCGAGAGCTTCTCTTCATCGTGTTTACTAATTCATGAGATGAATAACTTAAAGATAAGCGCTCACACGGTATGAATAATGCTTATTCGTCTTCTTAACCCTTTGAGTAGTGACTTGGTCCATCTATCGATATTTATGCATAGTCCAAACCTGATTCGATCGATTTATCGTTTCAGTCGTTACTGATATGGAAAAACCCCTGCCACTGTCTATCACACCTGCTGTGTTCCTCGTCCAGATATTTTTCAAAGTACCATTCCACTCAAAGTTACAATTAATATATCTGTCAATAATTATTTGATCGTAGTCTGAATAAAATATCTACATCGACTAACTTTGGAAAAAGTTTTCCAGCGGGTGTATATGTCTCTTGTGTTTTTAAACTTTATTTCAAGCTTACATGTGGATTTTAGTTTTGTATTATAAAGATCAATATAAAAAAACATTTATCGAATTAATCCTCGCATTTATTGAAAAGTTCTTTGAATCACCAAGTACGACTCATATATTTTTATTGTGATGAATGAATTTTTTTATTTTTTCGGTTTTTCGATTTTTACGCATGACTGACAGCTACCGATTCGTCTGGAATTGGTTGTCCGAAAAGACGGCAGCTAATTTACATAGTCTAATATTTTAGGAAGATTAATCGATGCATACGGTAGGCGATAACGGTCCGGGCATAACGGTCACGAGTCAGTGAAAAATTCTCTCCGTTTCCGAGTTATCTGTCAAAATGACGATTAATCAAGCGGTAATTATAAGTTCCGAGGATCTTTCGTCGGGCCGTCGTCTCGTTTGCTTAGAGAAGCACGTAGTCCGTAGTTGCGGGTCGCTCGACAGAGGCGGTTAATCAATCCTGGAGCTCGTTACAGTCGGGCACTCCGGTACTTGAAGTGGCGTTAACGCATCCGGAGCGCCACTAAAATGTCAGGAATTGTTAATCTACCTCATCGCGCGCGCGCACACGCGCATACACACACGCTTAATTCATGCTTGATAACATACTGCCGAGGAGAAAGAAGAGGTGCATCATCCACCTCTCGCGCGGATAGGGTTGCCACGAATAAACCCTTACTTTCCAGTTTCTGCCCTCTGACCTCTTCCTCTTCGCACCACGAGCTCGCTCTTGCTCTTCCTAGAGAACCTTGGCAGGGAGACATTCGCTTTCAAGCAGCACCAGACCGCACCGTTATTACTAGCGATAAATCGCCACCTTTAATAAGAGCTCGCGCGACGTACGCCAGACGGAAGTCAGAAACGACGACGACCATGGCGGCGGTGGCGACGACGACGACGACGAAAGGATGGTGAATTTAAGAAGCGAATAGGATCGAGTATGCTATATATTCAAATGATATCCATTCGATTTTATTGAATCTTTCCTGGCGATGGCCGGTCATGTTAGTTTTTTATTGTACGCCACTCTGTGATGGTTCGAACGATTTAATTTTGGACATCTCGCCGCGCGATAAATATTTCGCATATAAAATATCTGCCAGCGTTACGAAAATTTATTACATTTACTGGAAGATAATATCGTAACGCCTATATTTGTTATATGTATAATATGCGCTATCAACGTGATATGGAGTTTTCGGTGCTTGATCCGAGGGATATGGTACGCTGATGATTTATTGCTGTATATTTTGATTGACGTTGTGTGTAACAAGATAGATAAACGTATTTCACATGACGCTGTGTTTTAATCCTTTCCATTCCTATATCAACGTTACGCGATTATGCTGCATCAAGTTTTTATCTTATATCAACAAGCAATTATCAATATGATCAAATATTTTTTAAGATCTTGATGGTAATCTATTTAATTGCAGTCTAATTACATATAGTAATTATATATAAATTATACATCATTTTCTGTCTAAAAAGTTTAATATTTACAATTATCCAATAGTTATTATTACTGTATTTGATTGTTTTTTTAGATTGTAATTCAGTAATAATTATTTCATTATCAATATTTAATAATTTAATTTAATATAATTTAACAAATTAAATAAAAACATATTTAACATTAATTGAATAAAAATGTGTATAGAATATATTATGATGAAATTAAAGAAGCTGGAAATATAATTGAGTTTCAGCTTTTTCAGCTTTTTCAATGCTTGACAGCATGCTATTGAAAAAAACCCGCTCTTGACTTAGTTTGTATATTATTCTACATACTCATTAAGATTGTAGAATCATTATTTGAATTTTGTCTTAAGAGCGAGATATGGGAACATTTGAGATATAAAGTTTATGGTTTAATAGTCTCTTTGATTAAAAAACTAGAGATTACTCGACTGAGAAGCGAAAATATTGTTCACGCGAAATTGGATTTCAAATTCAAGGTATCCATTAAAATAGCGACAAGAATATATATTTTCTAAGAAAAGAAATAAGCTAAATAAATCAATGAATCCGATAGATAACAAATATTATTATCGCGACATACGAACAAAATATTTTTTTAATGTTTCAGACTCGTCGACCGAAAAACTTTATTGTGACGCTTCCTACTCGGATCTCGGCTCACCTGACGGTTCAGTATATCGAAATTCTTTTACGTGAACAGGAAGCGGCATTAGCGAAGAAACGGTTGCACGTCTGTGAACGTGAGCTGGGTTACTCACTGGTGATTGTTGCAGGCAGTCGCCAGCCACGGTTCTCGCAGAGAATCAAGACTCTTTTTCCTTACGGCGCATCGTGGCAACGATCTGGCAGTATATCGCGAAGGGAAGGGAACGGGAGTTGATTCTGCTAAGAAATTCGATACGCCAGGTTATCAAGGGAAGCGGAGGGATAATGCGGTCGCGGCGCGGGGTGGTAGCTACCGTAACTCGGTCACCCTGTTTCCAATTGACCGGTTTTCTCTCTCGCGGCATAGCCCGCAGTTCGACTGCATTGTACGAACTTCCTGCAGATTTTAGCTGTCACCGCATTTCATATTTTAAACGGACCGGTAACCGAGAGAGGGGGAGAAAAAGGGAGGACCAGTCCGTGTCGCTCCGGGACGATCGACGTTGGACACGGAAAGCGTGGACCACAAGCTCGCAAGCTCGCCCTGCGTATAAATATGTATATTCGAAGTATACACATAGGGCACAGGGCCAGTGCGCGGACCTATGTCAAACTGACCAACCGCGTTGCAGCTTCGCGGATTCGTGACGGGAAGCTTCAGAAGAGACCGCTTAATCGGTGGTCGTTGCTGCCGCATCGGATTTTGATTAGCGCGACCACGTCACGTTTGTCCGTTCGTTTGTCGACGGATAAAAAAATGCATCACACATGCCACGGCGCATTAACTCATACACGGCTATACACGCGCGCATGCATATATACATTCACTTGTGTCTGAGTCCATTTAACATTTTCTGTGTCCACGTGCACGGGCTCCCTCCGCATTTG